ACATTGCTTTAATTTAATTCGCTCAAACTGCCTGAAAACTTGTAGTAATTGTGCACCGTTTTTCTTTACGGTGATAACAACTGATTCGGGTTTCTTTTTAATAAAACGTTCTGTGTTTTTGTTCTATTTAAGTGTACGTCAAACTGTACAGCTTTCTTGTATTATTTCTGACTGAGGATGTACTAAGATATTGTACGAAACGTCTCGTAATACATAGTTATGCATTCGGTGTTTATTATACTGCTATTCATCAGAGTCATGTTTCTACCAAAGCTCCTGTTGGTCCGCCGGGTCTGGGACCAACTCGCCTCGGGCTAGGTCGATCCAGACCGCTTGATTGTTTTCTCGGACCGTCTCAAAAAATTTTCAGGTCGGACAGGCCAACATTTTTTTCGGGTCAGCCCAGTCCGAGAAATTTTAAAAGTTTTCTCCATATTTTCAGTTAAATTTGGCTATTTCCTAGTAACAGTAGATGTTACTATTATTTAGTGAATTCTGTTATAAAAAAAAAAAATACCTCTATTTTCTTAATTAACAGATGTTGCTGCTGAACCAGTGTTTAGCAAAGCTTTTTCTGCGTTTTTGCTATAATAAAGTTGAATTTAGTCTAAAATAATTTATAGTAAGGCTCAAGCCGGGCTGGCCAATGAATACTATCGGACGCTCTGTGTCAGGCCAACCGATTCGCATGATGAGTCGGGCGGACTTCGACTTTTTTTCGACTGACTTAGGCCGTGTCGGATCATCAAAAATTGGCGCGATTAGGAGCTCTGGTTTGTACTAAGTATGACATGAAACTTCACTCTATGGCGGTAAACTCTATGAGAAAATATTTTTTTGAGGGTTTCTCAAATTTAGTCAAATTGACAATTGAGATGAGGAATAAATCAGATTAAAAACATACAGTCCAGAGAAATGAAAACTCTATCCAACTATATTAAAAGAAAAATTTAATAAAACTTAAGAGAAATACAGTTAACTGAACAAAACTATTAAAAATAACGTAATCAAGCTGTATAACTAGTGACCAGTTATTATTCATAGTTATGTTATTCCAGATTGTTCATATTTGTGTCACAATTAAGTTTAAACTCTTTTTCTATGAACAGGGATATCAAACAGCTCGGGACGATCCTTAATAATCGCGTTAAACAATTTTCCTAAGTGTTTTGATGCCAGTTATATAACTGGCGCATGTGTACTTTTCATAATGCTTGTTTTAAGTGCAACTCAACTATTAAAATGATATATGTTTCGTCTTTTAGGGTATATGCTTTGTTACATCAATAGTACAATAAAGTAAGTTTCTCTTATCATAACAACAATTATTATTTACGCATTATTACATAATTTTATTCATTTATATTTTAGTCCAATGTTGTATGCCCTATGTAATAGTACTTTTCGTAGAACATTTTCTAGAATATTGCGCTGTGAATGTCATCGTCGTCATACAACCCAACCACATGTCATACGTCAACCATTTCATTTTCATGGAAAAAATGTTAAATCAAAATAATAATGACGTTTAAAATCACTCCTCCTCCAACTCCTATATATACCTATTTCTTTTTCTTTGCCAGAAAAAAGTTTTTTGGCTTTAATTTTCTTTGTTACTGCATATAACAGGTCTTTATTATTATTTTTTGTTCGATTAAAAAGAGTCCATCCATTCATCCATCTCGGGTTTCCTTTCTTCTTCTTTTGTATAGTTTCTTTTCTCTATTATTATTATTATTATTTATTCCTATATTTGGCATAGATTGTTGCTGTGTTACAACATTTTTTTAATTACGAGAGAAATAGAAAGATATCTCCGTAGTTTTAGAATAGGTTTTAGGTACAGGTTGTGCTGATTAATGTTCGAAAAACGAATTTTTTGTTTTCAAACTGTGCAAACGTAGAATCTATAGTCAATCTGTCTGAAAAAAAGATGTATCTCTTCCTTTTTTTAAGATTTATCTCGAGTTAAATAACTACTTATAAAGTAAAAAAGATCATGCGAGTTCAAAAACTGATAAAAACCATTATAATTGAATATGAATGACACAATTTATAAATATTGCTAGCAGAAAAAGAAAAATCAAGTTTTCGCCGATATTTTGACTGTTCAAAAGAATGGTCAATGGTTTCCATTTTCATAATAAAGTAAAACTCTCAAAATAAAAAACTTGTTTGCCTATTGGAAAACAAGTAGTTTAACGTAAACAAAATGTTCAACGTTAAAACAAAGTGAATTATACAAAATGTAATCAAATAAATAGTCAAAAGTGTATGAGTCTAACTAAAATAAGACAAATTTGGTCAGTACGACTTTCAATCTTTTGTTTTTAACATAGAAGAAAGGAAAGAATTGTATTACAACATCATATCTACTTATACTGTAAAAATAATTAGTACAGTTATTTCATAAACTATTACAAAAGCAAAGGATTGAAATGTTCAGATATCGACTTCTTCTCAAAATGTTTTTATTTCAACATAGATCGATAGAGAATTCAATTTTATGTAGTTTTTCGGAGCTTCGACATGCATTTCGGTGCAAAAATAAATTATAATAAATTATCAACTTTTTTCACACTGGATTGCCATTAATAATTTATTTTCGATAGGAAATGTGAATGGATATTTTTTTAAAAATATATCAATTGATAGGCCTCCACAAGTTGATCAAGAATATGTGCGAATAAATGCTTGAAAATAAAAAGAATCGTTATCTTTTATCAAATCATTGTGGACTATTGAAAATAAAGTTCAACATAATTCAAAATCAATATAATTTTAAAAATGAAGTACAATTTTTTACCACCAAGAATCATTTTCGAAGCAAAATAAAAGTGATATTCGTAATTAGTACTAAAAACGACGTCTAATGATGTGTTATTCACGATTTAAGTAAAACTTCTTTTTCTCGTCCGAAAATTGCTTAAGAGGAGACCAAAGATGATTTTTTTAATCTTTTTCTGATAAAGGGATAGATTATTTTACTTTTTGACGAGAAAAAGAAATTTTACTTAAATCGTGATGCAATCCATATTTTAATCAAGTATCTCAGTTGAGAAACCATTATTTCTGAGAAAATATTCGTTTCGCAACTGAGATACAATTTTGACACGTGCGTTGAAACGTGCAATTGCGTAAGAGTGCAGTGTACAAAAGGGTCTATTATTCAATAGTGAATAAAATGAAATTAGGTATATGATGTATCTTTCCTGACTACCTAAGTATGCAAAATGGTGTGAAAGTCGCTGTAATCTTGTGGATTTTGTTGAACCATTGAATAATAGACCTTTGTATACTGCACTCTTACACAATTACACGTTTCAACGCACTTGTCAAAATTGTATCTCAGTTGAGAAACGAATATTTTCACAGAAATAATAGTTTCTCAACTGAGATACTTGATTCAAATATGGATTGTATCTCAGTTGAGAATATAATTCGCATCTCAGTTGAGGCGTTACGGTCCAATTGATTGTCACAATCAATACCGTTTAGATTAAAAACACGGTAGAATAACATGATCTTGAAAATGACTTCCTCTTTGAAACATTAGTAGAATAACAACTTGTTTTTAACACTTTTCCTTGGTTTCGGTCCACTGCTTTTTCGACTTAATTTTGATCAGATTTTATAGAGAAAATTTATTTCTACAAAACAAACCACACTTTGTAGATAATTTTTCAAACTATTTTTGCCAAAATGTTCGAAATAAGGTGATCTGTGCAGTTGCATGAGTTTTGAGTGAAAGTAACAGTTATTAAAGCAAAATATAATACCAAAATAACAAAACCTTTCCCACAATTTTGACCAAGGAGAAGCTGGTCATGTTTGTAAAATTTCTTTTATAAAGGAATAAAACTTATGAAAATTTTCTAATAGCACATTCCGATAGAGCACATTTGAATGCATATATTCAACACAGTGGGCATTTCCTCATAGAGCAGGCGGCATTTTTTGCCGACATAGTTTTTTGAATCCAAAAGCACTTTTTTATAGGTTTTCGCATACGGTATTTCCAGCAGTGTGGCAAAGGTGAGTCGTGGAAGGTTTTTCAGAGGTTTTTCAGGGGATTTCCAGAGACCCAGGCTTCAAA